TCTATAAAGTCTAGTAAGCATAGGAGCTCGTTTTCCCGGTATAGCAAGGCTGCAAAAGTCGTGGCAGCCATTTTGTTTGGGGGTGAATCCTACTTAGTAACGCTACCGCGTTACTAATAGTACAGGGACTTTAGCCTGATTTTGGAGAAACTTGAAAAATTCGTAAAAAATCAAAATTTGATCGGAATCAGCTCAAACTTTCCACACAACATAAGTACATGTATATGCATCAGATACAGTACGCTGGTACATGTACATTGGTACGTACCGTGGTGTAGCGGGTACTCCTTTATTCCCAGCCCAAGAGGACTCCCCCACTTTATCCATCCAAGTCCCACAGTTAAACTGGTTCCCTCCTCTTACAAACCCAGTCTCATCCCAATCAATGGACACACCCACAAGGAAACCGGGCGGAGTCATATCCCGATCGAGCCCGGGCCCCGCCCCCCTCTCAGTAAAACTAATACCGCTAGCATGACGCTGTAAAGAATCTTGTATAACTTCTGCTAGCGATACTTGGACTCCGCCCATAAAATCAGCATCACTTTCATCAGTGGCAAACAGTTTCCGTAGAGGAGCTTGTAAGAACGACTGACCATCCGGTGCCATCTTCATGTAATCCTATAAAATTAAAAAGGGCAATCTAAAATTTTTGTGGGTGACCCAAAAAAATTTTGTGGGCAAAGAGACAGCGAGTTTTAATTTACTTGAATGCTTTGCAGCCACCACCAGGTGGCATCACGGCAGTTGTAACGAGGGGCGTTGCCTCCGTTTAACAGATTAGGTATTAGACCATGACGCAAACAAGAACCAAAAGATAGAATAGTGTTCCTAAATAAAAGTAATAATAATAATAATAATAATAATAATAATAATAATAATAATAATAATAATAATAATAATAATAATAATAATAATAATAATAATAATAATAATAATAATAATAATAATAATAATAATAATAATAATAATAATAATAATAATAATAATAATAATAATAATAATAATAATAATAATAATAATAATAATAATAATAATAATAATAATAATAATAATAATAATAATAATAATAATAACAATAATATGGTCTACCTTGCTTCAGCATATCTCCCTGTAACCAATAGCAACCCCCTCAGTGATATGAAAGTGTCCCTCCCCCAGCATCTCATGAATCCGGTTGCAAATGAGGCAGACCGGCAGCCATTGAACCCATAGAGGGGTCAGGGGACGTGGCCTCATGCGGTGGATAAACAGCTGATGGGGTGTAGCCGCATAACTGGACAGAACCGAGAGCTAAGTCCTTCACAACACTAGAGCCATCTAAGATAAACCTACAGATACATGTACATGTAAATTATAATAATTATTATTAAATATTATTATTAACTGTTTTATAATTAGAGCAGGGCAATTGCAATGAATTGCCCATTCAAAAATTGTTTCTTTCTAAGATAATAAAACTTCATACTTCTTCATCCTTTACTGATCTCTTTATAAATGCATGAAACGTTACAAGGCTATCGTGGGTCGGACTATAATGATATTCATTACTTGTTACTGAGGCTTGTAACATGTAGTTGGAATCCACTCAAATTATTATCATACGTAGCATATATCAACAGTATATTAATTATTAGTTTAGCTATAACTTGAAAAATATTAATCAGAATCAGCTCAAACTTTCTACACAGCATAAGGACATCAATATGTATCAGAAAATGTAATAAAAATTGGGGGTGATTTCGGAGCCATTTTTTGAAAAAAACCATGGGCTATAGCCTTGGGTATTTTTCAGAATTTTGGCATTTTCTTAAAATGGCCGTAACTTGAAAAATTGAAGTCGGAATCAGCTCAAACTTTCTACACAGCATAAGGACATCAATATGTATCAGAAAATGTAATAAAAATTGAGGGTCATTTCGGGCCCATTTTTTGGAAAAAACCATGGGCTATAGCCTTGGGTATTTTTCAGAATTTTGGCATTTTTAAAAATGGCCATAACTTGAAAAATTGAAGTCGGAATCAGCTCAAACTTGCTACACAGCATAAGAACATCAATATGTATCAGAAAATGTAATAAAAATTGGGGGTGATTTTGGAGCCATTTTTTGGAAAAAACCATGGACTATAGCCTTGGGTATTTTTCAGAATTTTGGCGTTTTCTTAAAATGGCCGTAACTTAAAAAATTTAAGTCGGAATCAGCTCAAACTTGCTACACATCATAAGGACATCAATATGTATCAGAAAATGTAATAGAAATTGGGGATGATTTCGGACCAATTTTTTGGAAAAAAAAACCATGGGCTATAGATGACTAATGGACAATGGATGACTACAGTTAACATGTAAGACTATGGACTATTCCTCACTTGCTCATCTTAGGTAGAGATGATGCTATTATCTGGTCATACAGTAAAGTAACGACAGCATCAAAGTAACAGGGTATGAGGTATCTCGGGAGGACTGACAGGTGGTGGAACACTCCTGATATTATCTCACCAATGTCCTTCATTGATGGGCGGAGCTTCAGTCTCTCGGCAGTGTATCCTAGCAACCAGTTCCCAGAGCGAAGATTGTCACAAAGTGGATGACCGAGATCATTAGAATCCCTGATGGGTTTTATCATATTCATAATACCCTGCGAAATAATGGAAGAGATAACGACATTGTACTCTTCTCTCTAAGCCACACCCCTAGCCCCTCCCCCTTACCTGTAGTCCACAGTATGTCATTCTCCCAACGTGAGGTACGTCATAGACTCCGCCTCCTTTTCCATCGTCCCTCTCCTCCACATCACACCGATACAACACATAGTTAACGTCAATCAGTGAGAGTGATTCTGATTTTGATACGAGACTTGACCAGAGATCAAGTCCTTCTTTATTTGATTTCTCTCGGCCAAGGAATGATCTTAATACATTAATTGAGTTACAGGCATCAGGTAGCAACTCAACTCTAAGTGAGAGAGAGAGAGAGAGAGGAACAAAAAAGAAGGTGGTTTTTATAATGTTCCACGTACCTGTCCTTAATACAGAGGTGTCCTCATTTCAGAGGTACTTTTGTATAGGCTTGTACCAATTGGGACATTACAAAATGTCCTCATGTACATTTTTATTGATTAATTATTATTATAATAATTGTTTAATTAGAGCAGGGCAATTGCAATGAATTGCCCATTCAAAAATTTTTGTAAGCAGTTACAGAAAAACTATCATACATGTACATCCTTTACTGGTCTCTTTATAAATGCATAAAACGTTACAAGGCTATCGTGGGTCGGACTATAATGATATTCATTACTTGTTCCTGAGGCTTGTAACACGTAGTAGGAATGTACAGCTTACGTGAACACACATAGACTTCAATACATATTATATATTATATGTACTTACTCATAAATGATGATAGATCCAGGACAGAAGTCAGTAAAGAGAACTTCATGAGTATCTTCTGATAGTGTGACTAGTTTGCACATTACTGATTCCTTCATTCCAATATGACGTCTCAAATCAACTTTAAACTGATCACTGATTCCAGTTAGGTAGTTGCTTGAAGCCACACCCTCAGCCACGCCCTCTTCCTTTACTAACCGAGCCTCCAGGTAAATCTCCTACAATAAAAACATTTTAAAATTAAAATTAAAAAAAAACAAATTTTTGTCTCACTTTTATAGTTCCCTGTATTGTCAATGGAGGTACGTCACTATACCCTGTGTGTGGTCTCGTACTAGTGGGCGTGGCCCAGTCTGGGGGCGGATGAAACGCTGTGTGTGCCATCAAAATGTACGACTTGTGGTGGGCGGGGCAATGCCTCGTCACGGCAACAATCTCCTCGGTAACCTGATCAACGTATATCTCGTTATAACCACCGTCAGATAATTCTTTATGTAGCTCATTCAATAACTTCCTGGTCTCTATGATACCGGTTGAGAAATTAATAGTAGAGTGGGCGGGGCTTGAAGAAGACTGGGCGGAGCCTGGTTTAGTAGTATCTGACCAAGAAGTGTAGAGACGCTTTTCAGTAACAACATCAATCTATAAATAAATAAATAAATAAATAAATCATAAGTAAATAAATAAAAAAAATAATAAATAAATGATAAATTCACTCTTAATTACTTTATGAGGTATGAGTTCATCATAGCCTCTACAACTTCCACTGGCACAAGAAGCTATTGACGCTAGAGCTGAATTAGGAATAGCATCATAGACTGACCGAGACTATAGAAGAATATAAAGTAGGTTATGTACACATACACATAATTATTAATGATACACATGTACATGTACATATAATATATACATCAGTCATTAGGTGGTACATACCAGTATGTGTCCAGGGTCATTGTCATGAGTAGCGTCAAAGAACATTGCATTAGCGACCGAGGGTTTCAGTACTGTACTGCTGAAGAAACTAGCTACTGGGTCACCACCGTACCTAGTAATATTAATAAATATTAATATATTAACCACTTGATATAAATTATTATTATTATTATTATTATTATTATTATTATTATTATTATTATTATTATTTTACTTGTAAACTAGTCGACCCAGTTCTCTTGGTATACCTGCTGACATTGCCTCTGTAAAAAGAGATGAAAATTGAAATTAAAAAATTGTATTTAAATTAACTATAAAACTAGCTAATTAAACCTAGTTATTAAAACTAGTTAATTAAACATAGTTATTAAAACCAGTTAATTACCTCTAATAAGACAGTTGATTCCTAGTCTATTCACAAAGTAGTTGTCCCTCTCTTCTGACGGGGTGAACAGCTCAGCCACCAGATAAAGGTTAGGCTTAACCTCACGAGCTGCGTCCAGTAATCCTTCAGCTACAACAATCGGAGTATTGTGACAATTATCCAGCCTAAACCCGTCAAACAGGATTGCCATGGACTGGGTGTACTGTGTCATGTGAGACCAGAGCCACGGTGAGTCGGACGGCTTGTTCCCGTAGCGAAGTTTAACAGAATCACCCCAAACTATGAGCTCCCGTTTGAAATAAACCTATAAAAGATATAAGAGGATATTGTAGAGGAAAGAATACATTTAATGGTTTTAAAATTTGCATGACAATTTGTAGCTGCAGGTACAGATGTATGGTCTATGCATGGAGCAGGTTAAAAGTGAAAGTTTCTTTAAAGTTTGTGTAAGTTGATCTTTCAAAGTGAAGGTGACAATTAAAATGTAACAGGTACTAACCTCTGATCCTTCTTCAGCAAAGTTAACCAGTGGATCAGCGTTCATGACCCACCCATTATGAGCCAACACGTTCTTCCCCCTAACTCCTTCTATCTCTGCATCTGTCAGGTCAGTGCTACCGCCCACGTGTACAAAGTACCGCTGATTGAAAGGTTCCGCTGGCGTAAAGGAGGTACGACGCGGGCCGTGGTGCTCCAGGAACTGGTAGCGGATGTTGGCCGTAATGTTGTTGACCGCTAGGTAGAGGAGGTGACGGATGTGGTCCTCCATTTCACCATTGAGCTGCTGCAGCTCGTGACGTAGGTCTGAAATACACTTCTCTATCCTTTCTTCAAAGCAAACTGTTCCATCACTGTAATGGAAACAAACAAACAAACAAACAAATAAATAAACAAATAAATAAATAAATAATAATAGTGTATACATTGTACATGTAGCTTATAATTAGAGGGGAAATTCTCTGGAATACAGGAACAAATGTTATGAAATGTATAATTATTAAAAATACATGTATCTCCATCGTCCTTACCAGTAGACGTTAAACAGTTCCAGTGTCAATCCAGCATCCACCGTAGACCCCAGTCTCCGGTACTGTGGGTCCTGACAGATCCTGAGACTCTTTCCCTCAGGTTTAGGGTGTTCCCCTCCATTCAAACGATACACAGACTGTCTGAATTCCTTCACTATTGCTTCAACATCAACACAGAAATACTCCCACAGCTTTGCACGAGGAAGGACTGTGTTCAGCAAACAAGAGCGTAGTTTCTGTAATGAAAGAGAGGGAGAGAGAGAGAGAGAGAGAGAGAGAGAGAGAGAGAGAGAGAGAGAGAGAGAGAGAGAGAGAGAGAGAGAGAGAGAGAGAGAGAGAGAGAGAGTGAGAGAGAGAGAGAGAGAGAGAGAGAGAGAGAGAGAGAGAGAGAGAGAGAGAGAGAGAGAGAGAGAGAGAGAGAGAGAGAGAGAGAGAGAGAGAGAGAGAGAGAGAGAGTGAGAGAGAGAGAGAGAGAGAGAGAGAGAGAGAGAGAGAGAGAGAGAGAGAG